TGGTAGAATATGTTTGAGAAAAATCAGAGAACATTAATTTTTTCTGGAACCACCAGAAATGGTCAATTCTATATATCAGTAATTGGTGAACTAGACTGCCCCAAAACTTTCACCTAATTATTTTTTAACAAAACATCCTTGCACTTAATATTTTTAATCAAGGTAAACCATTACCTTTTCTCCTGGTGAAACAAGTTCTAAATTCTATCAGTACCGATATAGTTGATTTTATTATCATTTGACTTCGATATCGTTTTTGCTATTACTGTTGCAAAAACGAAAGGAAGTTGGTGTCATTTAGTCAACTTCAATTAGTTATATGCTCAATAAAATAATAAAACCAGATTTAGAAAACTGGTAATGACTTAGAGCTATAAAAACTCCGACATACTGATATGAATCATAGTTTTTTATACATAAGGCACAACCATAACTTAAATACAAATATATAGTAAAATGGTACGTTGCAACATTTTATTTAAATCCATTTCCAAAAATATATTATACAATGCGGTATTTTTATCAAACTTTACTCTGTACAAAAATCCTATAATAGCGTTTTTATACAAAATTAATCTCAAACCAAACAGTACCTGCCGTGTTTTTTATCAAAAATAATGTAAGTCTAGATAATAAATAAAACTCCAGTTGATAACACAATATTCGTAGTGGGCCATTATTTCCTTGTCGAAAATTTAGTGAAAGAGCTAATAACAAATATGGAAATTATTTTTGAGTAAGTATTAAAATTTAATAACCGATTTTCAAAAAAAAAACAAAAATTTTACAATTTTTCTCGTAACCAAAAAGCTGCATAATGTTTGATTGGAGAGAGGGGTAATTTTAAATATTATCACGTAAAAATTCTTAAAAATCGATCACGTGATTAATGGATGCTCCCAAATTTATTCGATCAATTAAAGAGATGTAATATTGTTTTTTGTCAAATAATTCAATTACAGAGTTTTCCATTATAAATATAATATTGTGTACAATTTAGAAATATATTATTTTTTTAAAACGGGAATTGCCATGACGGTCATATGTGTCTGACACTAAGTTGTTCTAAGAAGTTCTGAGGAAACATATATGTTAGTCATATATGAGTGACATAAGAAATAGTGTTAATTTTTTTTTGTTTTATGACAACTTTTCTTGATACATATTAACTAAATTATCTAAGAAAATTACCATGGTCCACATGATTTTTTTTCTGATATTAACATGGTCATTAATGTGCTTTATTTCCTATGACCCGAATTCACCAATTTCCATCCCTCAGCTCTTCCACTATTGAAAAAGTGTCGGCATAGCATAGGAATTCGTAAACTAAAAAATGTCACCCCCGTTCCTTTCTAGCAATTCGTTTCCAGGACCTAGGTCACCCCAGTATAAATTCACGATTATAACGCAGTTCATGTACCCCAAGTTTTATGACCTTTGCATGTGCACCCCCTACACCACACACCACACTTGGCTCGGCGTTCGTACGGTGAATATGGTGCACGGTGCACCGCATTAGGAATGAAAAATAGTCCGGACTTGCAAATGCTCATTTTCGATATTAGTATTCTGTCACAGTAGGCACAAAACCTACCCTCGAGCTACTTATTTCACACTAAGCATCCCCCTTTGGAACATATATGTAAGTAGACAATTTTCAGAAATGGATAGATAAATTTTCGATATAAAGGTTTTTTTGTAACTACCCGAAGGAGAAGTTACTTTTTGCCAACAAATCCAACTTTAAAGTCATTCTGAATCTGACAACATTGGAAAAATCTTAAGTTATAGTTGAGAAATCAAAAATAAAAAATTTCACATATCTTTACGTTTCAGAGGTTTCTGAACACTTTGGCATACCTCCGAAAAAATGAATGAGTGTGTGTGTGTGTGGATACCATTTTTCGTTGACGTTTTCGGGAGTACCGCTCAACCGATTTGAATGATTCAAAAAGCAATCGCTTTTTACTAATGAGGATTAGTGTTGATTAGATTTTGGGAAAGGTCGGTCCAACCGTTTCGAAGATGCAAAGCATCCGATTTGAATGAATCAAAAAAATTTCTGCTTGTGTTGACGAAACAATTGTTAAATTTTTTTAATTTAAAATTGAGTCTATTGCCAGAACTTGAATTAAATGAAAAAGTCAGGTTTGGATAGATTCATGTGCATGATAATTAATCTAAATATTTCTTCCTCTATATTAGAATGTCGAGCCGTTCGATATAAAAATACAGACAATATTACCAAAATAAAGAATTAAGTTTCTTATCTTATCGAATTTATCGACTACTTTATCAAAATTTAGTACATTATACAAATAGCACAAATTAAATGAATCATTTTTTATTGAAAATGATAAGCATTTGAAAACAAAGTTAGAAAAATCATCATAGTTTTGTAAAACATTCTAATAAAATTCCAAATAATAATATTCAAATAAATAAAATTTATTACATGGCAGTATTACCCCAAAGAAGAGATTGTCCTTAAAATTTGGCATAAATTTTGCCATCAGTAATTTACCACTTTCCCATTCAGTAAATAGTTGTCGCTTATAATACTCGATAATTTCCTCTTATCTCAATTAATGTCGATCACAACATTTTCCAAAGTGTTTAGTATTACAAATATTTATCAGTTTATCGAGGATTATTTAGGAATGTTGTTGCACTGCACGCATCAAAACTGCAACTATGTACACCATCGTAACATGCCACAGATGTGGAAATGATAGTTACAAGCTCACAACGATATAACATAAAGCTCAAATAGCAAACGGTGATATTACAAATGGCAAAATCGATATGTTTGTGTCGGGTCGCCCTGTATAAATATTTAGGGTAAAACGGGGTCGAAGGAGGAAAAAAGTCGCTTAGATGTGAGAGAATCAGCCTAGAGACTTCCCAACTACCACTGAAGACAATAACACAAAATTTTACATTAATTTTGCATTATTCATACAAAGAGATCCAATCACTGAATTGGCATTTGATTTAGATATTCCAAGAACTACCAAAAACTTGCTGATGTTCCATAATGAAATAAGTTTTTTTTGTTAGTTCATAGTCACAACATTCGTTCTCATTTTTTCAAAATAGAAATTTCACCAATAAGCAACTTTCAGACAACATACAATTATTTCAGAAATATCCACATCAGCTTTTATAAATAGTATGGGTCCTACCCCATCAAAATCAATATTAGTATATGAAAATGGACAAAAATTGTGATGGTTTATAGAAGGTTAGAATCATCTTCTAAAAAACTATATATTTTTAATCTTATATGACCAATTTTACTAAATTTCCCCGGTTTTCCCTATATACATATGCCGAAAAAAATTGAAGATATTTCATACTGTCTACATGCACTTGACAAAGATATCGAAAGCAATAAGATGGCAATATGACTTGAAATTCTCATGATGTATGATAAGTATTTGTCAAGGAATAATAAGCAATTGCTTCAACAAACGATTTTTTGGCAAATATATTCTAAGGAAACAATATTAGCATGTACGACAATGATTGATGATCAAAAGTATTGCTCGAGGATTTGGAACATTGGGTGATTTATAGATTTGCAACCCTACGTACTCAGAAAATACGTACACATTTTGCTATATTCCATATGAATATATGCATCAATAAAGTTTGCCAAATAGAAGTTTACTATTTTTAAAAGCTCTGGACATGTATAAACGTGTAATTACAAAGTTATAAACGAAATTGAAATATCAATCAAACAAAAATATTCCCAAAGCTCGTTAACCACATCATTATCATTTTTATTTGATTTCGAAATTGAAATTCAGCAATTAAACTTATAGCACAACAACCACAAGTATATTCGCCGCGATTAATTTAATTTCAACTTCGTACTCTGAACCGATTTTCATTCCAACTATCTATATGAGTAAAACGTCTGTGCATATTTAAATAAGTTCAACAACTACTTCACGAAATTCTCCGTAATCCAGTCGATCTGTGTGGACGGATTAACATGTAAATTGCATCTGGTAGCCGGAGTTCGCGCCGATTGTGACATTCTTAATGGAATAATATTATGAAAATGGATGACGACCTATAGCCCAACGATTCGGAATGTTTTTAGAAAATTTTAACCAAGGTAGAGTATATATTTGACCGCGAGCGACCCTACCATTAAATATTGAAAAAGACCAGTTTGTATTCATTAGCAAGCTTTTAACGGGTAGAGATACCATCGAATTAATAACGGACCAACAAGGCTCCCGTATTTTCCTTTTAATCGATTAATATATAATGAAATCAATGCGGAAACATGATCAATATATTATGATTCTCAATCTGTTTTCAGATATTTCACCCATTGGAATTTATGCGTAGTTATGACATTATATATTTTATGTCAGTTATATATGCAAAGCAAGTAAATTTCACAACTATATCGATTCGTTCAGACATATTGACAGACAGAAAGACTACGTATTGCGTGATTTCAACGTTTTAGTTTCATTCAGCTATTGGAAATGTTTATTTCACATGTCATACTTTTTTTTTATTTTCGTGCAAGTCAATTAATTTAAAATATTGCCAAACTAGTTGAAGTAACTGTACATAGACTATTTCCTTGATAATGATCTCTGATTGTAATAAAACATTTTGAGATAATTGATACATTTTTCAGAGGAACGGAAATAAAAACATACAGTTACTGCTTAGACTATAATTGGATCATCAGATTATTGGTAAGTTTGAAAATTAATAATGAACAACGTTCAGCGCACTTAATCATATTCAATTTCACTGCAGTGTACTTAATAGATTTCCGCGGTTAACTGCAGTTTAAAGATCAAATTCATTTACCAAACATCGTGAAAGCGCATATATGTAATATCATCAGAAAATAGTAAACTATGTCGATATTCTAACAAGCTATGCTAATTGGAGGCACGAGTAAACCCCGCCTAATGAATATATAATACATCTATGAATATTTAATAACAATGTCTGACCTTTTGCGCCTTGCACATTGCAGTGATCGCCTGCACGTCATGACTGGCGTGTCGCTCCGTCTGCAGGCAGCTCGCGCAGGCAGGTTCCTTGCACGCCAAACAGTAAAATCCTAGCCTCTCGTCCTGGTGTTCCGGGCAAAACGGCTCCGGAGACGGCGGTGCCCTTGCTCTCACAAGTGTATGTCCCGCCAAAGGCCCCCTGGCCGGGTGACAAGTTTCCCTGCACTCGTCGCAATATAAAACAGCGCATTGTTCGCAAGACACGGCTGCGATTTTTGGATTTTCTGGGCACATCTGACATCGCGGTAGGTGCGTACCGCTGCCTTTGAATTTATCAACGACATTTTCCATAACCCTATACCTTGGCAAGTTGCGGGCAGGGCCGGCGTCGTCAAGGAAAACGGTTCGGCGGCACTGAACACAGCATAGAGACAGTGGCGTACCGGTGGCAGGTAAAGGGGGGAACAAAATTCCCTGGAGATTTGGTGTGCCGACGTAGCTGGATGGACGGGACGTGGAAGTGCACACGACACCGCTGTCCGTCTCGCTCAGGATTGATAGCTTGTCCGCTTCCTGGAATGTAACATTGTGAAAATTAGTTGAATAACTTTGGAAGCTAATAGCGTATTAATTTGGGTACATACAAAATTTAATATGTAACATCATGCAAAATGTGTTAAGGGGGTTGTTTTTTGCTACACCGCATTGAAAAAAGTCCTTTTAAGAAAAACGTATTTAAAGTTCTCAATATAATGTACTAAATACACCATTTAATTTGATGTACTAAATCCACCATGGTGTTCAAAGATGCTGACACATTAAAAAGGTCATGTGCATGAGGTATTATAATGAAAAAGAGAGCAGCTGGCATACAATAGCTCGCGGAGCGATGAAAAAAACGGTTTCAGAGGATCATACATATAGAGATATATACATCTATAACTTCGTCAAAAAATAGATATTAAGATGATTTGTTTTTAAATAATTCTAAGGTTTTTTAGCTTTCATAATATCAAAAAATCTCAAAATCGAAAAAAAATAAATAATAAAAACCGAACAACCCCCTTAAGATCATAACTGCAAGCCATATAGATTGCATAACAAAATTTCTATATATGCCCTCAAATAATTAAATCGTTTAAACCCAACTTTCATAGTGCTACTAATTATTATGTACATATACAAAACAGCACTCGTTTCAACAATGGCGTTACCATTTTACAATCAAATAAAGAGTCATGTGAACGAGATTACGAGAACAGAAACGCAAAACTTCAATTCAATTATAAATGATAATGTGTCAAACAAAAGTGTGCTGGATGCGTATGCAATAAATTATATTGCGTAACACAACTTGATTCTGCTGGTTGTTGGAAGGTCACTACTTGAGAAATATAAAATAATACAAATAGAAGATTATGTGCAATGAAAATTGATAACTCTAATATAATAAGAATATATACATAACACTACTCATTATGAGTCCCTTCTAACAATCTATAAAATGTAAATACAAAGTACTTTTACAATGTTCTCTCATTTTTTCGCAAAGCGCATTTCTAGAACAAATCTCAACATGTTGTCTTTCACAACAATGATATCACACGACGGGAATGATAATATAATACCCATAATAAGAAATGTTTAATAAAAACAGCCCTCGAGTTCTACATCACAAGACGTAAGTAACCGGAGCCGTGGATTGCTTTGCATTTGCAAAAGACCATTATGCAAGATGCAGAATCACGAAGTAGGGCACACCAGTGGTGAAGAACATAAAATTTGAAAATATTTATTTCAAAAAGGTAATAGACATAGAATAAATATACTTAGGAGCCGTCTATTAATGACAAGACGCCAAAAAGGTGGTGAAGGAGTTGGAAAAAATGAATGAAATATTATGCTGCGGAGGCATAGTGAGTAGGATTTATACAAAAACCGACATTTTATAAAACCGGTTTTCGAATTTCAATTTTACTAAAAAAAACGGTTTTAACCGGTTTTCAAATTTTATATAGAAAACAAAATTTTTCTCGAATATTTTGTAATTTATCCGCAATTTTAGTGTAATTTAAAGCAGTATTTGACTGAATTTATTTGTTGCCTAATTTTATAGATAGTAAACAAAATTATTTTAATTTTAATTAGTTAAACTAAAAGATAATAGTTAGTCTTGATTAAATAACTTCGTTATTCATGCATCATTTTCACATATAAGAATGAAAATATTTTATGATAGTGAAAGGAAGTTTTCGAATAAATAAAAATAATACGTTTTTAAATAAAAAAAATCATTAAATTAAAAAAAAAATAGATACATGTTGACACATACTTGTTTAATATCACTTTTAGTTTTAAAAACAATTAAAAACTCAAGTATTGTCTATTCCGAGCAATTTTAATTAATTAATTTTAAACATTATTACAATAAAATATGATTTCAAGAAGAAACTGAGAACATCTATTGAATTACTACTTGGACGTGTCCTTTGTTTACTCACAAAAATTCCTGAAATAGAAATACTCTTATACTTGCGACCAAATTATGCGTAAATTGTTTTTTGTTATTTAATTAAAACATACACTGGTATAAAAATCTAAATTAATATATTGCACACTGATAAGATATTAAATGCTATTGAACCGATATGATTTCAAGAATCAAAACGCTTTCATCTATTTTATATTTGGCTATATTTGTCATTTTCCATTTATACAGTGAAAACCAACATTTTTCACTAAAAAAACGGTTTTCGAATTCCATAATTTTCGCAAAAAAACGGTTTTTAAAACCGGTTTTTGAAAACCGACAAACCCTAATAATGAGATTTAGTGAGATATTGTGTTATATTTTTTACCTAAATTTAAAAATAATCCCGAAAATTTTACAATTTTACTAGGTACTAAAAATACACGTGAAGTTGGTTGGTGGAGAATTTTTAAGATCATCACTCTAACTCAAGTTCACTAAAATCTCGATTGATGCAATAAGTTTAACCATGACTTTATGCAAATATGGATTCTATACCATGGACAACTATTCCATTACTCATATTTTACGCTTGTGGTATTAAAATAATGTAAATATCTATATCTGGGACATCGCATAAATCAGCCCCGGCGTGCCCTACATGGCGTGAGATTTATCTCTAACTCTTTGCCGAGGAGTTCGTTTGTGTCTTTATGTTCCCATGTCGTCTTCTTTGTGCGTTCAGGGATGTAATAGTCAATGTTAACTCAGGAGATGTATGTTTACAGTAGATGGATCGTATTAAAGCATTACTTGCATTTTTTCTGCATCGGAAAGCAACTTGCAAAGACTTCAAGGAACGTTACGTTGCGCGTTTAAAGATTGCGAAATCTATATACACACGGTGAAAAATCTTTTGGTCGACATAACTAACATTACTAATTTTGTGGATCAAACCTTACTTCAATTGTCACGATAACCGCCGATCGACCCATTACTTCATGGGGGAGGATCTAGAATGCTAAGATTCTCCCTCATAGTTATATATTCCTTCTAATTAGTGCTATTCGTTTTCCTTCTTTTTATGTAACACAAGTCAATGACGACTTATATCAAACATAGTGTAATTACAAATATATAATAGTGTAGAAAGTTCAAAGTATCATATTAAAAAAAAAAAAAAAAAAAAAATAAGTTAAATGATGTATGCTCTGCACTTGTGGCTCACAAAATACATCTTATTTCTGGAGTGTCAAAACCAATTAAATATATGATTAAATTATTGATTCCATCAGATTTCTATAAACTGATTTCTTGTAATTGTAAATCTTATTTGAAGCCTTGAAATGTTTTACGATTTATTACAATAATTCTAGTAATAAATAATAAATTTTGATGCTTCACAGTTTCATATCACGAGCAATATATTTATGCGACACCTGTGTATAGAAATTTTAAGACGAAATATATTACTTATAATAAACAGGTTAAGTGCATATAATTTATTGCGCAATATATGCATCACTTCAGTATTTAAGTATCATATGATAGTAAACCTCGAGTGCATTATTGATAATTCAATTTGATAATAAAAAAATTTAGATTAATATAACAAAGGCAATTTACAGACAGTACTCACACTGATAATATATCAGTTTTTACATTTGCCAAAAATTAAAAAAGTAACAGACACAAACTTATAAAATTAAAAAACATATATTTAATTCAATAAAAAATTTAGTTGTTAGTAGTTAAATTATTTGGATTTAACCGTAGTTGATAAAATTATTATTATATACCCATAAATCATTTTAGAACACCTGACAGGCTGACTAGTTTCACATAATTTTTCATTTGTCTATTTTTTATCATCTATCCCCTTAGTATCATATTAGTGAAACTTTTTCGTGACTTCCCAAAAAGCAAAACCTAGCAAGTTCCGACTTTAGTTCAGCTGTTGCTCGATAATTAAGTTTCGAATGTATGGAAGGCATCAAAGCTCAATCAGGTCAATTACCCATGGTGAACTATACTTCTACTCGACGAAGTAACTAACTAATTACTTCCTAAACAAAATCCGTGAGCGAGTGAGTGCTAAGTAATAAGTCAATTTATTTAAGTCAACGTCGTGTGCTTTTGACAACAAACAGCCACAGGCGGGCAATACAACATTGCACGACTTGTATAAGATAATATTTATATGATCTACTTAATTCCAGGGTTAAAAATCATAAAACAAAGTAACTGATACGTAAGTATTAGGGAACGACGATGAAAAATCCGATACCGGTATTTCGGTATTTACGCTCTTGAAACCGGTAATACCGGTGTTTATTTTTTTTTTTAAGTATACCTGGCCAAATCTTTACTACATATTATATTGAATTTGCAATAAATTATTTTTGAATAGATATGATCCTCATGTTAAAATTCAATAAATTGCATATTAATTACCATTTGATTTATTAAAGAGCACTTCAATGCAATATGTATCATCTTTCGTTTATCACTTACTATTATTATTATTATTGCATTTATGAATACTGACAACTTTAATAACAAGGCATGTTGCACAGTTCATAGTTCTATCTATAAATTATCAAGTAGTTGATACTACTTAATGTATTGTATATTAATTGATAGTGACGCAAAACATTGCAAAGTATTTTAAAAGACATTGAAACATATCATCTGTTCATTAATTTTTTTTACCTAAAATTTTAATTAAATATCTATAATAGAAAAAATTTGCTCAAATGAGAATCCTTTAATTTACATTTTATCTCTAAGCTGCAACAAATAAAATAAAAAATAGTTTATCTCAATTTTAAATCAACATCCAGAAAAAGGTATAGGACTAAGTCGTGAAAGTAAATATTGTATTGCAGCTTGTAGCTATAAGATCATTAATTTAAATTAAATGATTTCAATCCAAAGTTATTGGCTTTACACTATTAAAAGATCCTTGTTTTTTATTAATGATAATAAAATCAAATTTGTATGTGATTTAACTATGCTGTGGGGAATCAAGCAGGCTAGACTTTAGAAAAAAACAAAAATGATTTGTCATTTTTATTTATCATAAAATTTTGTAATTAATAAATTCTTTATATTTTCATCCAATGGGTTTTATATCTTTATATTCATAACTTTTTCTTACACTGGCGACCTATGACGTTTGTGATGAAGACAGAGAAGGAGCATGAATCGGAAATTTAAAAAAAATGTAGACTTTGATGCAGCACCATTATCAGTGGTCTTCCGTGACTACTTAGGTACGTCCAGTCCTCGAGTCAGTGCGAGTTAACCCATTTACTCTACTGACACCGGACTTCTGTTGGTATACCCATTTTGTATACCCAGATCTCAATGTTTATTGCTGACACAAAAATTAATTTTGAGCCTAGACCTTGGGTCAGAAATTGAATTCATTATGAAATGGTTCATTGGAATGGCCATTCAACCTTCAAGATGATGACTCTTTAATACACTCTCCTTCGAATCACATCCGATTCGAGAATCCGATGTATGATCCAAAGGGCTACTGAAGTCGACAAGATTATTTTAATCATTGCGAAAATTCATATTCTTACAGAGCGCCAATTCATATTCCCCAGAGCGTGGGGAATCAAGCAGGCTAGACTTTGAGGAAAAAACAAAAATGATAAATCAAAGAAGAAATTGTTTGGATTTTTAGATTATTTTGGAAAATTAGTAAGGATGAGAGAGCCTTTTTTTTTCTCCAAATATCAACGCCTATTCCAATATGAAATTACCAGCAATTTTGCTGGGCGTAAAATCTTAACCGAATGCTAATCCAGTGAGTAG